CGCTGCTGCGCAAGAAGGGGATTTACTACCAGATGGTATGTTTGCATTCCACTTTGCGTGTTTTTGGTACGAATGGTTTGCTAACTGTTGTGCAGTGTCAATCTCAAGCGCTTGATAGGTAACACTGCGTGCTCGGGGAATAATGAAGTGCCAGGAGGTAATTAATTCACAACGACCTTGAAAGACATACGAGTGCTACTTGTCGTAATTACTTTATGTGTTAGAACTTGAAGACCAAAAGAACCAATGCACCTCCCCGACTAGGTACTGTCATGGGAAGAAGAAAGGACTGCAATGACTTCGACCGGCTCCACATGAGCCACCCATCTTTCCCGATTCCCATCCATCTTCTATTAGTTACATTGCTTTGTTCCCGAACACCGTGCTTGAATCTTCATCAACATCCTCATTCGATCATCGCCAATCAGTCCATAGTAACGTGCGCAAATATCGTCTAACGTTACTCGCCAGTCACTGCCATCCATCGTACCCATTGCGGTTGAGGCACGCCCCAAGACACCACCAGTTCTAGCCATCGATACCAAGTCATGAAAATGACGGGCGTAAATCTCAAATCCCGGCATCTCCCTCCAATCCGCACCCCCTTTCCACTCCCTCCCCCTTTTCTGCCACATACCAGCTACCTCGTATCTCCCGGCTCTAACGTAGCCATTCCTAGAAACCCAACCCCCGGCCCCCGAAACACTCCAAATCCCTTCCCACACCGGCCAAAAAAAGAGGAGGAGGCCTGCCGTTTGCCGACAGAGAATCAGTGGGAAGCGGCCACTGCAGCAGACGCCGATACCACCCAACCCGCAGCAGTGAGTCTCCCAATCCACACCTCCTGTCTCAGTACCTTCCTGCCTGGCAAATACTAGGTAACAACCGTCCCCCGCATCCCCAGACCCTCGCCAAGCCATCTCAACGCCAAATCGTAAGTAGAGAACCTACCGCCGACACTTAGTCCGCGCCCTCAGCGAGGACGAATACGAGCATCGAACCACCAGGCGGGCTGACAACCGAGGCGCCAAAATGACTCCAAGCGTACGAACGCGCAGGGGCGTGCTCGAAAAAGTCTTGAGGATCTTCACCTTGCCGTCCGACTACCTGACCTTACTTTGTCGGCATATCTGGAGTTGCCGCTGTCGGGTTTTCCAGTTGAGCGGTCAAGTTTGCGTTCGGCTTGACAATAAATCACTTTGCCCCGGGGTGAGCGCGGGATGGTTATTGGTCAATTGCCGGAGTATGAAATATGGCGCAGCGCCGGGGTGAATAGCATCATATCATTAGTGAACTCATGATTCACCTGTACATGTGGTAACAGCGTAGTGCTCGTCGCGGTATGCAGAGAGCCAATAGCTCATTATAGTTACGGTACTGCGTCAGTTTTTTTTGGACACTGTCTTAAGTTTTCTGTGCTGTCTGGTCTGGTCTGGGCTGGGCTGGGCTGGGCGCTGCCAACCCAGATAAGATGTCCTGCTAGAGGTCAGGTAGGAATATTCATTACGGACAAGCAACAGCAAGGTGAGCTGATTTATCCCAGGGCTGGGCCCAGCTAGTAAACAAACCACCCCTGAACCCTTCCCGCCAAGCCTCTCCACCCAAGAGCCCTTCAACCTCCACTCAGGCTCGATCCCGCCAGCCGTCGAGAGTGGCGCCTGTGCGGGGATTGGATTTCCCCGACTTGGGACCCGGACCCGACCCTGTCATGTTCAATTACTTCCACGCCTCCTTCCACGCCCAAGAAGGTGCGGCGACCTTTTGCCCTTCCACTTCCAAACGTTCTGCCGGAATGCACGGACAAACGACGGCACGCACAGCACATGGGCAGCGGCTTTTTTTCCGTTTTTTTTTTTTTTTTTTTTTTTTTTTTGGTTTGGTCTTCAGCTCGGACCTCTCTTGCAGGAATGCCGACGTTATTGCCAATTTGCCATGTGGCAGCCGGAAACGCACATACGCCCGCCCGCTATCCTCGGCGGGGGCAAGTGGCACTATAGGGTTCTTTTTTTTCCTCCCGCTGGTTCGATCAAGTTCGGATTCAGTTTGGACAGGCTCTCCTCAAAACCCCACCGCAGGGTGGGTGCTACCCTGAACAGAGCCAACAAGATTAGACAACCATGTGTTGAACGATCATCCCCATCGGGAGAGGGGAACGAGCCGCGAATCCATCTAACCCGAGCCAGCTCGGCGGGGAAGGGACACTGATCCAAAGCGGGATTATCAGGATCACACGGGACTGCGCTAGATGGTATCGAAGTGGCTTCCAAGTCTCCTTGGTGCGGCCGATGGAGTTCTGGGAGGGGTTCGAGCGTAGAAACAAACACGAATCCCTGGAAACATTCAAGGTCCCCATTCGGATCTGGGGCGGCTCGTCTCGTAGCACATTTCGGGTCGGTTGATGCATGGGTATGGACGGATGCATCGCTTAATCTTTGTGTTACCTTGTACAAGAACTAGGATATGGGTTAGCAGTCGCGGCATGGGCTGCTGTACCGACCCGGGGGCTACCTAGGCCACTGTCTACTGTGCCACTATTGATGCTAGCCATGCATCTATCTGTCCAGTTATGCACATGCCGGTAGGGATGTGCACGTATGAGTTATGGGCTAGATACCCTTATGTATTACGGATCGTGGGGCGAGGTGGTATTGCGGTCATCCCTCGTGCAGTAGCACGATTCCCTGCGTCGGATCTTATGTTATTTTGTCGTGCAGACACGATGAGGTGGTACTGGTAATCAATGGAACAACACGCCGCGATCAGGGTGTATATAACCCGCGATGCGGCTGCATGCCATGCAACTGGGACTGATGCCAACCCTCTGCAGACGCATCTCTCCGCTCTACCTCACCATCCATCCCCTCCTCTCCTAAACACCATGCATCTCTCCAAGATGGTGCCCAGCGGCGTCGTGTCGCTGGCCTTTGCCCTCCCCATGCTGGGCTTTGCTCAGGCGAGCACTGGCGCATGCTCGGGCTCCAGCTGTGTCTCCCCCCGCGATCTGGGCTGGAACGCGGTGGTACAGAAGGACGTCATCATCATGGGCGGCGGCGCGTCAGGCCTGTACGCGGCCCTCCGCCTCCGCGAGATGGGCAAGTCGGTCGTGGTGGTCGAGGAGCGCGAGAGCTTCGGCGGCCACACGTCGACCTACATCGTGCCCGGCACCAACGCGCCCATCAACTTCGGCGTGCAGGTCTACGCCGGCGACGAGCCCAGCATCCGCCGCTTCTTCGGCTACTACAACATCCCGCTGATCCAGGTCCAGCCGTCGTCGGCGCCGCAGTCCAACACGCGCCACGTCGACTTCAAGACGGGCACCGAGGCCGTCAACTTCACCGTCAACCCGGACCTCTCCGCCTTCTCCGTCGAGGCGCACAAGTACGCCGACCTGTCGTTCCAGACGCGGGCGCCCAGCCCGCTCCCCGCCGACCTCCTGCTGCCGTTCCGCGACTTTGTCACAAAGTACAACCTCCAGTCCAGCGTGTACAAGCTCTTCTTCCAGGGCGAGGGCCTTGGCGACCTGCTGTCTCAGCCGACCTACTACGTCTTCAAGAACTTCAGCCCCGACCTGCTCGACAGCTTCCTGCCCACCTCCCCAGGCGTCTTCATCGTCCCAACCGGCTCCAACCAGGAGATCTACCAGCGCGCGCAAGCCGACTTTGGCGACGACGCCATCGTGGACTCGCGCATCCTCGTCGCCTCCCAGCGCAGCGACAGCGGCGTGACAGTAACCATCAAGACCCCGACGGGCCTGCAAACCATCCAAGCCAGCAAACTCCTCATCTCGGCCCCTCCCACGCTCGAGAACATGGCCCCGCTCCTGCTCGACAGCCACGAGATCCCGCTGTTCTCGTCCTTCAAGAGCCAGGGCTACTTCGTCGGGCTGGTCAACGTGACCGGCTTCGCGCCCGGCGACGAGTTCTACAACATGGCTCCCGGGGCAACCTATGCGCTGCCCCAGCTGCCGGCGCTGTACCAGATCTCGCCCACGGCCGTGGCCGGCATCTACCAGGTCAACTACGGCTCCCAGGAGGACTACTACCCGGAGATGCTGGTCAAGGCCGACATCGTCGCCACCGTCGAGCGCGTGCGCCGCTCCGTGCTCGGCGCCGCTGTCGCGCGTGGGCTCCCACCCGTCAAGCTGCTTGCTTTCTCTAGTCATGCGCCCTTCTCGCTGCGCGTCTCTGCTGGTGAGATCTCGAGCGGGTTTTATACCAAGCTTGATGGCCTGCAGGGATACAGGAGCACCTGGTACACGGGCGCTGCGTTCTCGGGGCACCACGCTTCGCATGTGTGGAAGTTTACCGAGGATATTGTCAACCGCATGTTTGCTTGATTGTCACTCTTGCTGGTTCTTGGTTGGCGTTTTGTTTTTTTCTTCTGTTTTGTTTTCCGGTACGCGTATTTGGGCATTTGATAAAAGTTCCTTTCTGGTAGTGTGTTCAGTTGGGCTGGGCGGCTGTTGGTTTTATGCCTGCTCAGTGTTTTTCTTTCTTGTCATTTTTTAGTAGCCTTCTACTTCTTTTCTCCCCAAACCATTCTTGTTCATTGTACATTTGCACAAGCATAGATACAAATATACCATTACCCAAAGCATTGCCATCAGTGCTGAGAGATTACCTGAGCTTCAATAGAGTAAGATGGAATGTAGACTCTCCTTTATCATTGATGATCACACTATCTTATCAATAAGTCTATGCTCACTCACTATGTCACCAAAGCATCGAAGTTCGTCCCAAGACTCCTTTTAACGCAATGCTCAACTTCCCAAGTTCGGCCCCAATCCTAATGCCCAAGCCTAATTGAAGTGGACCATCTCCAACCATCAGCCGATAGCCAAAATCCAAAAACCCACAAGCAAGCCGCGCTTCGGGCCGTGCAAAGCAATGACTCGCGCCTCACAAAAAGATCCCCACCTGTCCCCAGTTTCTTCGCCCACAACTTGAATCTTCCATGGTTATATGCACGAGCAACGACTCAAATGTCCATCCAATCAACCTGGGAAGGTGGCCGAGCGGTCTAAGGCGCCACGTTAAGGAGATATCCTTGATTACTTCAAAACTCCTCATCATCCCGATGATGAGGAAAATCATGATCCGTGGTCTCGTAAGAGGCGTGGGTTCAAATCCCACCCTTCTCATCAGTAAACTTTCTTTTTGCCTCTTTCCTACTTACCCCCGGAGCTCTTATATCTCTGGGGGTTGCAAAATCTTATAAGTAATATCATGTTCGCGGTCTTACTAGTCGTTTCATTCTTTTGCACATTGCTGAGGCAAAATGCGCATACACGCACTCCCCATACGTCCACCCACACTCAATCTTTGAAAGCACCCGTCAAGACACCCCCCGCCCTCTTGTTGAAAGAAGGCGCTCATTCCAAAAGAAGGTAATGACTGTTTACCGAGAGAATCGAAATGAAAGTACCACCGCTTTCGTATACCTTGCAGCGTGCTTAGATCCCAAGTCTTCAGAAACTTTTCAAATAAAAGAAAAAAAAAACCGAGATCCTCCCCAACCACCTTGCATCTCCTATCCTCAGCAACCACTCTACGTTGCTGCGGCCTCCTCAACGTAGTCTCCCCGACTTCCACTGCAGCCGCTATCAAATATAATCGTGCTAAGTTGTGAGTGTCTATTGGATAAGTTCTCTAGTTCCGTCGTCGTAAACCCGGAGAGTCGGGATCTAGAACTGGATGTTAGCAGACTGAACGGATCCATCTCCCCGGGGACACTCACAATGTCCAGCTCGGCATGGTTATTGCTCAGCCGGCAGTCCTGGTCGCCATACGAGCAGTTGGCCGGTGTCTGGCAATGGTGTCCGAGCGTGCAGTACACGTCCCGACACTGGAGCCCGGACGAGCACTGAAGACCGCGTGTCTTGTGCTTCAGAGCCAGCAGCTCGGCGCCGACGAGGCGCGGTCCGTGGGTGTATTTGCAGTGCTCCTGCGTGCAGGTCGAGGTAAGGTGGTATTTGTTGCAAAAGTTGGTGCCGTTCTTCATCTTCTTCTCCTCCAAACTTTTGGCGGCATTGTAGTCTGCCTTGGGCAAGGGGATGTCTACGCGCTGGTTCTTGCTGTTGAGCAAGAGGTAAGGGCGGCTGGGGCTTGTCTTTTTGGTCTTGGAGATGTCGATGGTCTGCGCAGTCGTTCCTAGCTTCCCGACGGCGGCATAGGTGTTCGAGGGCGATGAGCTGTCTGAATCTTCCTTCTTATGCGATCTGATTGCTACGACAGCTGGCTCATTACCGGCGGGAGTGGCTGACTTCGGAGCCGACTCGGCAACGGGGCTGGTAACTCGCGCGGCTGGTGGCGGAAAGGGCGTAAGTCCGAATCCAGGAGGAGGGGGGACGGGCTTAGCGAGCAGGGGCTCGGAACGGAAAACAGTGTCGAAGTTGAGACGCGTGAAGCTGAATTTTCTGAACTCGGCCGCGGTCGGGGTCGTCTCGAGGAGACACGTCTTCTTGCTGCGGAAGGGTTCCAAGAAGGCGGCGTATCCGTTATCGTGGCAGCCGCCAAAGATGATGCACTTGCAGTGAGAGTTCCTCTCCATGGCTTCGTATATCTTTCGCACCTTGTTGTCGGCCTGTTCCTTGCCAAAGCCAACATCGACAAAGGAGAACAAGGATTGGGCCCGACCGAAGCCTCGACCAAACTTGGCTAGGATGTTGGGATCGGAGCTCTTGACCGTGTTTGTGCTTAACAGAGCCTTGTTCAAGCCCTCGAGGTTGAGAACGACTTGGACAAAGATGAGGTCGGTATCTAGTCCGTTCTGATGAAGAAAGTCTTTAATCTCTTTCTGAAGCTGGTGGGCCGCTTCGGCACCGCCTTCTTCGCCTCTGGCGATGAGGTCTTCGTGGAAGACGGCCCCATCGCCGTCGATGATGACAAAGGCAAAAGGGTCCGAATCCTACATGTAAGGGGCAGGGGAGGGGCAGAGTCAGCAACACGAAGTCGAGCTAGGTGGGCGGGTGCCATGCGGACTGGCTCAACACAGCTCGGGACTCTTTTACTCACGGTGGATGATCTAATACTCTGGAGCTCCATCTTGGTATTTTCTAAGGCCCTATGGGAATGCTCTAGGTCCTTCTCAAGAATGCCATGCTGCTGTTGCCACATGGCAGCGTTACGCTTCTCGCGGGCGCACTCGGCATACTTCTCGCGGTACGCGATGACGAGGGACGAGTAAGAATCGATCAGGTTATCCTCAATCGCATGGCGCTCTTCCTGGTGCTTATGAAATGCCATGAGAGGGGCACGGTAAATGATGGCGGGGTCCTGGTCTGGAACGCCATAGTTATGGGAATTAAGCTCATTCACATAAGTGTGGGACAGGGAGGCCGTCGACGACGAGGTGCCGTATGGCTGCGAGCCGTGGCCGTTCATTGTAGAGCTGGGTAAGCTGAAGTTGCGAAACCGTACGGAGCGACAGCAACTGCGACTGCGGCTGCAAATGCGATGGCAACCGCGACTGCGACTGTGGCAGCAACGGTGAAGCTGACGGGGGTTGAGGTGCTGCGAGCTGAACTCTATACCTAGTATGCACGGTTGCGTGTGGATTGCGATTGCGATTGCAGTAGTGTGATGTGGAGCAACAAGTCTTGGTCAATCGAGGTCAAGGTTTGGGTTCTGGATGCGACTGCGAGGGGAAGAAGGGGCAAAGTTGCGTTTGCAGCAAGATGGAGCTTGGAGCCTGGAGGGATAAAATTGAAATAAAACGGGTCGCACATTCATTTCACGTGATTGGCAGGAATAGGTTGGGCTCCAGCTCCGGCTTCAGCCCCAGCGCCAGCCATCCATCAGGCAGGACGCGCACTGTGGACCGCGTACCGCGCGCTGCGCACTGCGTCCAGGCGGTCCGTGTTTGCCCATAAGGTGCCTACGAACTCCGCCGCAACGGGTCTGTGGAAAGGGCCAGTCACAGTTTAAGGTTCGGCGCCAATGCCGTCCAACGGCGGTTACCCGCAGCTGGCAAGGTATAAACACAAAGTGTGGCTGATTTCTCCAGACGCCGATCCGGGCTTTAATTGAACTGCGAGTCAGACGCATAATTCCAGCATCTCAATTGCTTTGGACCGCAGGCTAATCTAACGAACGAACTACGAACTGAACAATCATTTCGGCAGCACATTTGACGGGCTCTCCGGCGTCTGGCGAATCGCCCGCACAAGACGGTGGAACGTCTCCTTGACATTGACCAGGTCCCTGGCCGACATCTCAACGAATTGGCAACCCAGCTCCCGAGCCAGCGCCCGACCTTCCTCAAAAGAGACCTTCCACAGTGCAGTCTCGTCACTCTTATTGCCGACCAGAATGGCCGGCTTTTTCGATCCACAACTAGAACCGGTTCGCGGACAGCTGGTGGCACCCTTGGTCCAGGCCACTTGTCCATCCGCATCGCCTGCACGTAGTGCCTCAGCACCTGCTCAAACGAGCTGCGGCAAGTAATGGAGTACACGATAACAAACCCGTTCCCAGTCCTGATATACATCTCACGCATCGGCAAGTATTCTTCATGGCATGAGACGTCCTTCGGCTCTATGACGCACGGCTGTCCGTCGACGATTTCATGTTTCCGGTCTGCAGCAATCAGGGTTGGGTCGTAGTCTTCGACATACGGGTCAAGGAACTGCACAGGTACGGTGTCAGTTGTGCAGTTTACCGTGATTCCATGTCACAAACGCATGAGCTTAACCGGCAAACATACCTGCTTAACCAGCTCCGTCTTCCCCACCCCATCATCTCCCAGCACAACAAGATAATGCAGCTCGAGTTTGACGCGCTTGGCATTCGCAGAAGGCGTGCCCACAACCTGAGTCCCGGTTCTTGTACTTTGTTCTTCCTCGTCGATGCCGGGCCCGGAGCTGGAGGGGTCAAGAGGTTCAAGTTGACGTTCAACTTGAAGTTGAGATTCCAATCCATTCTCCCCAGCGAGGAACCTGGCGAATGTTAAATGCGGGCCAATGTTGATGATCTCCTCCCGGGATATTGGCAGCGCGACCTTAGAAATCATGGAGATGTCGTTCAGACTCTGTCCCGACAGCATGCTCCACGTTTTCGACTGTATAGCGAGACTCTTAAAAGACTTGTCAGACCCCAAGTCCTCGGACTGGACTTGTATGCATACCCGCGTGTTATCCAGTGCAGCTTCGGAGCGCTTGGACCAGGAACCACTGAGTCTTCGAATGTTGATACTTGCAAATTTGGAGTTGAGTATCCTGGACTTCAGACTCAGGGACCGAGCGGAAGCTTGTTCCCGGTGCGTCGTTGGTCGATCTTGGTCGAAGAACTTGGTTGATCTTTTTTCCGACCCATGATATTCGAACTCGTCGACACGGCGCAGAAGCTCGCGATCCTGGGCCACGACGCTTTGGATAGTCTCCTGTAGTCTGCTCAGACTCTCGCGTGCCTCGAGGTCAAAAACGCTAATACATACAGCCGGATCCGGTTCCAGTCAGACATTTGTTGTACAAAAGAGGTCATTTGTTGGCAAGACTAACCATCGCAGGATTGTAAGCATGATCAACAACGATGTCTTGTGCGAGTCCAGCCGCGTCACAGCCTGCACGATATTCTTCTCCTCCGATGCCCATCTCATACAATCCCATCTGGACTGCACTCCACCAACACCGGCGGCAGGGTCGACGATGGCTTCGAGCTCCTAAAACAATATGACAGATTCCCGAAACGTGATGACGAGGTACGTGAGGCGGATCATCTCTTTTCTCTCCCTCGGCAGCCCCGATAGCCTTTCCATCAGTTCCTTGAACGACACAAGCGTCATGCGCATCTCGTCCGCGGCTGTCAGCGCGGCGCGCAAAGAGTCCGGCGCATCGGCCACACTTGACTCCACCATGGAAATACTGGTGTAGACTTTCCCCGCAACGCTCAGGAGGGCTGGCACGGAGTCGGCGATGCTGAGTGGGTCGGCCATGGCAGAAAAATTCGACAGACCTCACTGTCTTGATTGATCCGGTTTGACAAGACTGATGAGGAACAAGTAATTTTCACCTAGGCAGCGCGAACGATGCCCCGCTTCTTGCAAGTTGGGATCGTTCGATCGCTGACTGCGAGAGCCAGAGCTGACCATAAGGGGAAGGTCGGAGTTAACTAATATCCCCGCACTTATCTGCCTGACAGAGCA